GAGAAGTAAAAATTTGCCTTGGAGAAAAGTCACGCGGGCGCATGGGGGGGAAAAAAAGGAAATAGAGGCGTCCTTTTAGCCTGGTGGGGAAGCAGTTCTCGCCAGCGGTAATTGCCCGCTTGCCCCCTTCCGGCCCCCTTCCCCCCCCCTTCCCCCCCCTTCCCCCCCTCCGGGGGGGAAGCTTCCCCCCCCTCCGGGGGGGGCCCTTGGACGAAAATAGGTCCGGCGGCCGGGGGTGGGGTGGGAGCGCCGGTGACGTTTGGCTGCTCCTCGGCCCGAGGGACGCAACGACAGTCAGCGCTCGGTCTTGCTCACGCTGCTCCTCCCTGGGTCTCTTCCGGCAATGCTTAAGATTGTCCTCCTCCCGGTCGGCGCCTTCGCCGCCGGAGCCGATTGGGCACGCATCGGTCCTTGGAACATCTTTGATGACCAAAACGGCAAGGGCGAGGCGGGCACGCTCGCGTGCGCGGCATCGCCGGCTAAAAACCCAGACCTCATCTACGCGGGCGGACAGAACAACGGTGTGTCGAGCGGCATCATCAAGAGCGTCGACGGAGGCAAGCACTGGACACGCAACAGCAAGGGGCTGTGGGACACGCGCATCCTCGGCGTCTGGCTCCACCCCGATGCCCCCACGGGAAATCACGTGTTTGCCGGCACGCACAGCGGCGTCTACGAGTCCACCGACGGGGCGGCCTCCTGGACGCTGTGCAAGGAGACCGCGGCGTGGGGCTTCGTCACGAGCTTTCGCGCGGGCCTCATCGGCGGCGAGCCGTACCTGCTCGCAAACTCGGAGCACGGCATCCTCACGCGCCGGCACTCTCTAGTGAGAAACTTGTTGCGCCACTAGCGAGACGTGTGGCGGGGGCACGCACGCGCACTGGGGCGACAGACTGGCGCACTCCACGCTGGGGGCAAACGGGAGTGAACCAGGAGCCCCACCAATCGGTGCCAGAGGCATGCAGAGCTGCTGGGCTCACATCCACACCGCTCGACACCGCTCGACACCACCTCGACACCTCTTGATCCTCTTGCAATAGGCGCGCGGCCAAGGCCTTTTCCGCGTGGCAGCGCATCGAGAGCCCGGGCGGGATCGCAAACAATGACCACCTGAGCGTGGTGACGACCGGCGGGCGCACCGAAGTGCTCACCTGCATCGGAGGCTGGGGAGGCGGGAAGCTCTACTACGCCTCCCTCGACGCTCCGACGCGCGCGACGTGGAGCGGGCCGCTCAAGCTCCCCGACCGTAACTACACCGGGTGGGCGACCTACCCCGGCCAGAGCCTCATCTTCGGGCGGTGCAGCAGCCCCACTGCCTGCGGCGAGGGCGTGCAGCTCTAGATGGGGCGAGTACTGATCCACGCATTCCGACCTTCAGCAGAGTGGACACATGTTCGGCTGTCTTCAGCTGTGTTCGGCTGTGTTCAGCGGTGCGAACTGCCCGTGTATCCACGCGATGCTCTGAGCTCACCCCTCAGGCGTGCGACCGATCGGCGTCTTCGACACGCTCGGCGGGTGCCAGGCGGCTGTGAACAAGACGTCGCCCCCGCCACGCGGCTACACGTACCAGTCAAAGGACCCGACACTCGGCGGCTACGCCGGCCACTGCTACGCCCTCTCCGCCTTCGGACCCTTCGACCTCCACCCGCAGAAGGGCGTCGCGTCTGGGCGCGCCCCGGGACTCGTCGCAGGCGAGGAGATCGACTGCTCGAACGCGGCCGTCGACCCGCGCGACCGCGAGCACTTCCTCTTTTCGCGCGGCGGCGAGTTCCGCACCTACGAGTCGAGGGACGGGGGACGGACGGTGAGAGGGCCCGAGAGGACCCGAGATGGCCCGAGTGCGAGTTCATCTCGAGAGGGGCCGAGAGGGGCCGAGAGAGGGCGGGATACCTTAAGGTACACACACAAGGGGCCGGGATAAGCCGAGAGGGGCAGAGATTGCCCGAGATTAGGTGAGCCGGGTCGCAAGCCACGACGTGGGCGCCTTCTTTGTCCTCATCGACTCGCAGGCGCGCACAGGCCGCCCTCTCGGCCGCCTTCACCTCGCAGACCCCCGCCGCCACACCCGCACTCGAGCGACTCCACTCCCTCCTCCGCCGCCACTCAGGGCTGGTACTACACAGCAACCCAAGACGGCGCCTTTGTCTCGCGGGATGGCGGTGTCGGGTGGGAGGCGCTGCACGTCGTGATGCACTCGCGCGACGGTGGGCAACGCGGGGGGGAGAGAGAAGAGGAGAGGAGAGAAGAGGAGAGGACAGGGAGGAGAGGAGAGGAGAGGAGAGGAGAAGAGAGGAGAGGAGAGGAGAGGAGAGGAGAGGAGAGGAGAGGAGAGGAGAGATGCACTCACGCGACGGTGGGCACCCTTGGACCACGCCGCCATCGCGCCTCGCGCTCTGGTCCGCAGGCCGGCGGATCGACCGCGTGCCGCACGACTACCAGCGGATCGTGCCCGACTTTCGCGGCGACGGGCGCGCGTTGTCTCCTCCCAACCCCCCCCCCCCCCCCGCCGGCCGCCCCGCCACCGCTGAACCTCCGGCCTCCGAACGCGCCCCGGGGACCGATGTGTGAACCGGAAATCCGCCCGCTGTAAGAACCCCCTCCCCTCGGACCAAGGACTCCACATCCTCAACCGCTCCTCCGAAAACCTCACCTCGGCGGTCGGCGACATGCGCAACAACATGGCCCTCTCCGCCATCCTCTCGCCAAACGAGCAGGGCTCGCGGAGCCTCGTGGTCAACCTCTGGGACTGGAACGTCGGCGCCTCGTGGGACGACGGCGCCACGTGGGCTGGCTGGACAAAGGGCGAGGCGTCGCCGGGCTCTTGCGGGGAGGGCGGCGGCGGCCAGGGCATGGGCCGCTCTCGCAAGGCGATCATGTTCCACAGGAACCACTTTTACAACTCGTCCGATGGGGGGCGCAACTGGGCGCGCGGCAACTTGCCCGCCCCCATGGGCGCCTTTGTGTATGTGCGGCAGCCCGGCTCGCGGACCGAGCCTGCGGGCGCGTGCTTTGCCCTGTTCAGCGCTCCCGCCGGCCAGGTCTTGCGCGGCCGCAGTCGCTCCTCGGCGGGCGGCGCCGCCGCCGCCGGCGGCGGCGCGTCTTCTCCCGACCGCGACTACTCTCCAGAGTTGGACGACGAGCAGGAAGAGGCGGGCGAGGACGAGGAGGCGGCGGGCGGGCCGCAGCTGTACAGCCCAGGACTGCTTCCGCCGCCCCGCGCTGGCTCGGTGGTGCACCTGATGACGAGCAGCGATTTTGGCACACGCCTCCCCCCCCGCAAAGAGTCGGGCACGGTAAGGGTCGCCTCTCCAGACGCTTCCGCGGCGCGCCCATAGGCGGCTCGTGGAGTTGGGCGCCGCTGCAGCCGTCGCTGCAGCCGACCGGCCTCGAGGTGGACCCGACGGGCAACGGGCTATACGCCTTCAACGCGGACTGCCTCTCCGTCAGCAGCGACCAAGGCCGAAGCTGGTCGCCGTGCAGCCAAGCGGCGGGGCTGACGGGTCGCCTCCACCAGCTGCTCGTCGTCAACACCAGAGTCATGTTTTTGACTCGTGTCGGCGCGGTCCCTCTCCGCACTACCGACGGTGGCCAGTCGTGGCACGAGCTCGGCGGTTGCGCGCATCTCTTCAAGCACGGCGCGACGCTCGACGGCAGCCTGTCGTGGTCTGGCCGCACGCTCGTTTTGCACGGAGCCGACCTCGGCGCAATCGGCCGGGGCGAGTACGGCACGGCGGTGTGGCGGTCGACCAACGACGGCGACGACTGGACCGACGAGACGGGCGATTTGGTGACCATATCCCCGGGCCCGGGGGTGTGGTACGAAGACGACTTCTACCTCGTCACGCGTGGAGAGGGCGTCACCGTCAAGCGGCAGTTTGAGCGCTGAAGCCGCGCGCTTGCGCTTGGCTGGCGAACGCTGGCGTGCGTATACACTGCAAGCAAAGCAGAAAAAAAAGGTGCGTGGTTCGTTGTCCGTGGCCTTGTGTGCGTACGGAAACCGCCAATGAATCGGCGTTCGTCATTTTAAGGAAGTCAGAAAAATATCCGAGGAGTGGGGTTTGCGCATAGGTTGAAGGTGAAGTGTCCCCCTTTTTGCGCTCCTCCGGGGGACTGCGAAACCGCGGAGATGTGACCGCTTCCCGCCGCCGCGCCGGACCCTTCTCGGACGCGCGTGGGTAGCTAGCGGCCCGCGGGGACCGGAGGGGCAATGCTGGGATGCACGGTGAGGCCAGATCGGAGGGAGAGCTCGGCCCCGCCGCGTTTGGGGGTGGGGCGATGCCCCTTCTAGGCCCAGCCCCATGCCTCGGTGCCCGTGACGGACACTTGCGGGCCGGCGCCCTCAGTGTGCGCCTCAAGCTTGCCAATCACGGCCGCCGTCTCGCCCTCGGCGCGGAGGATGTCGACCAGCGCCGTCGCGTCGGCCGGCGAGACGACGAGCACCATGCCGACGCCGCAGTTGAAGGTGCGCAGAAGCTCCTCGACGGGGGCGCGCGAGACGCCCGCCATCCAGCCAAACACGGCGGGCGGGGTCCACGCCGTCGCGTCGACCGAGGCGCGGACACCCGCGGGGAGGACGCGCGGCAGGTTCTCGGGCAGGCCACCGCCGGTGATGTGCGCGAGCGCCTTGACCTTGCGCGTCCTCGTGGCGGCGAGGCAACTCTTGACGTAGAGCTTGGTCGGCGTAAGGAGCGCGTCGGCGAGCGTCGCTCCCGCAGCGAAGGGCGCCGGCGCGTCCCACGAGAGGCCGGACCGCTCGACGACGCGCCGCACGAGCGAGAAGCCGTTCGAGTGCACGCCCGACGAGCCGAGGCCGATGAGCACCTGCGGGGCGACCGTGGCTCAGGCGGCCGCGGGAGGGGGAGAGCACGAGCCACCAGCGCGCGCACGTCTCCGGGAGCGATCTCTTCGAGGCGGGGCAAGATGTCAGCGCGCTCCACGGCGCCGACGGCGAACCCGGCCAGGTCGTAGTGACCGGGCGCGTACATGCCCGGCATCTCGGCCGTTTCGCCGCCGACGAGCGCACAGCCGCACGCTGCACAGCCGCGCGCGATGCCGCCCACGACCTCGCCGGCGCACTTGACGTCGAGGGCGCCCGAGGCGAAGTAGTCGAGGAAGAAGAGAGGCTCCGCGCCCTGCACGATCAGGTCGTTGACCACCATCGCCACCAGGTCGATGCCGATGGACCCGTGCTTGCCGGTGGCCTGAGCGATGATCAGCTTAGTCCCGACTCCGTCGGTGCCCGAAACGAGGACCGGGTCCTTGTACCCCGCCGCGCGCGTGTCGAAGAGCCCACCGAACCCGCCGATCGACCCCATCACGCCGGCGCGGTTGGTCGCCTTTGCGAGCGGCTTGATGTCGTCCACGAGCGCGTTGCCCGCGTCGATCGACACTCCCGCCGAGGCGTAGGTGAGGGCGGCGGCGGCGGTGCCGTCCGAGGAGGAAGTGGACGCGGCGACGGCGGCGTCGCGGCCGGCGCGGACGTCGGCGACGAGCTTGGAGACGGCGTCGCAGAGCGCGGGTCCCTCGAGCGCCTGCACGCGCGCCTTGAGCGAGAGGGGCGTGTCGTCCGGCTGGACGGCGCACTTGCGCTGCACGACCGGGGCGCCGGCGTCAACCTCCGCCTCGACGTAGTGGACGGTGCAGCCCGTCTCCTTGGCGCCCGCGGCGAGGACCGCCTCGTGCACCTGCAAGTCCATGCCGCCAGCGAAGGCAGGCAGGAGCGACGGGTGGATGTTGACGCACCGCTTGGCCCACCGCTCGCAAAACTGCGCCGAGAGGATGCGCATGTATCCGACCAGCAGCACCGCCTGCACGCCGGCAGCCTCGAGCGCGGAGGTCACCGCCGCGTCGTACGCCTCGCGGGACCGGCCCTGCACGGGCACGTGCAGCGCGCGGATCCCGTGCTGCCGCGCCCGCTCGAGGATCGGCGCGTCCTCCTTGTTCGAGACGACGAGCGCGATGCGCGCGCCCTGCAGCGCTCCCGAGGCGAGGGCGCGCAGCACGGGCTGGAGGGAGGAGCCGCGGGTGGAGCCGAGGACGGCGATGGAGATCGGCTGCTCGCGCGCGCCGCGCGCCTGGATGGAGAGCATCTGCGCGACGCGCGAGTTGACCAGTGCCGCCGTCCCCACGTCCCGCCGGTGGAAGAGCTTGCCCTTGATCGCCGTCACCTCGGCCTCGGCGAGCGCCTCCGCCTCCTCCAGCGTCTCGGCGACGCCGACGACGCCGACGGTGCGCGAGCCGGTGGCGATGAGCGAGCCGCTCTTCGGGTCCGCGTCGACGGCGCCCAGGTAGGCGAGGTGCGGCCGCTGCAGCCCCGACAGGTCGACGACGAAGCCCTTTTCGGACCGGTTGGGGTAGCCCTCGGGCACGGCGTACTTGCAGCACGATGCGAGCCTGCGGAACGGCAGCGACACCTGCGCGAGCCCCTTGCCCGCGGCGGCCGCCTCGCACGCGCCGAGGAAGTCGGCCGCCGGGTCGAGCAGCGAGAGCACGTTGAGGCACTCCGGGTCGCCGAAGCGCGCGTTGTACTCGATGAGGTACGTGCCGCGCGCGGTAAGCATGTACCCGCCGTAGAGGACGCCGCGGTAGGGCTCGCCCGTCTCGGCCTTGAGGGCGACGATCGTCTCGGCCTGCATCTTCTTGGCCGCCTCGAGCGCCGCATCGGAGAGGAAGGGGAGCAGGTGGTCGGCGCAAGAGTAGGAGCCCATGCCGCCCGTGTTGGGCCCCTTGTCGCCCTCGTATGCGCGCTTGTGGTCCTGCAGCGGCGGCATGTGCACGAGGTGGGCGCCGTCCGAGAGCGAGAGCAGCGAGAACTCCTGCCCGACCAGCTTCTCGCAGATCACAAAGTGCGGCAGGCACTCGCGGCAGTACTCGACCGCCTCGTCGATGGACGCGAGGTGCGCGCCGGCCACCTTGACGCCCTTGCCACCGCAGAGGCCGTCGGCCTTGATCACGTAGTTGCCCTCGCCCAGCTCCTCGAGGTACTCGCGCGCGCCCTCCATCGCGGTGAACTCGCGAAAGTCGGGCAGCCCCGCCATGCCGTGCTTGTGCAGCAGCTTGAGCGCAAAGGCCTTGGAGCCCTCGATCGCCGAGAGCGCCTTGGAGGGGCCGACCACCGCGACGCCGACGGCGCGCAGCGCGTCGGCGACGCCGGCGTCGAGCGGCGCCTCGGGACCGATCACGGCGAGCGTCGCGCCGTGCTTCGCCGCGAAGTCGGCCACTCGGGCGCAGTCGTCCATCTTGCCCACCTCGTACGCCGCGCAGAGCGCCTGGATGCCGGGGTTGCGGGCGGAGCCGAAGCAGAGGAGCTTGGGCGTGCGACCCGCGCAGTGGCGGGTGAGCGCAGCCGCGATGGAGTGCTCCCTTGCCCCAGAGCCGACGACAAGCACAACGGGAAGAGGAGCGGGAGTCATTGGGTCGGAGGTGCCGTGCCGCACGGCGGGACCGTTGGCGATTTTTTCCTCGGCTGTGGTTAGTGTCTATCTGAAGCATGAAGTTACTTCAGGAAGTAAGTATTCACCGCACTATAGCACGGGCTCGCACCCCCCAACCGCTTACTAGGAACCCCTCGCCTTATTGTTTGGCCCCCCCAGGCCACACACAGACCCCCAGACCGGTCACTGGGGCCGACAATTAGGGTTCAAACACGCCCGGGAGACAGCCCAAACACAGTTACTTCATAGTTACTTCTGCGGCATTCTCGCGCACATGTCGGCCGAGTGCGCGCCCCCTGCTGCCGGCAAACGGTCTCCTGAGAGCCCTCATACACCCTTGCCACCCCCGCAGCCCAAGCCATCATCAGATGCTCCGCTTGGCCCCACCCCCCCGGGTCCGCCGCGGCCGCCGCGGCCGCAAGTGGCGCCGCCGCCGGAGGCGCGGCGTCGCGGCGAGCTTCGGACGGCCTTCTTCTGGATGCCGAAGCGGAGGCCTTGCACTCAGGGAGCACCTGAGCATGGCATAGCACTTAGCAGCGGCGGCCGGTGCTGGGCATTGGGGTTACAGAATGCGTGGTCGGGCGCGTCGTTCACAGCAGGACAGCAGTCCAGCCCGGGAAGTGCGTTTCTTTTTTCGCGTTTCCGCGCGTGCAGGCGCCCCCGACTGCACTGAGCGCACCCCCCACCGTCCCCTGCCAGGCCCAAGCACGCCGCAGGCTCCGGTGAGGCCGCCTGGGTTGGTCCGCCAGAGAGATTTTCTTTTCTTGTCGGCGAACAGGAGCCTTCGCCAACTAAAAAACACAGCACCGATGCCGACTTAGTGTGGGGAGGGTCGGCGAGCACTCACTCACTAGGCGGCGCCGCAGGGCCGGGGCACTGGCCACGGCCTCGCCGACCACTAGAAGGCGGCCCACCCACTACGCGCACTATCTTAGTGCGCGGGGTGGCAGGAGGCACTCACCCACTAGCCCGCTCGCCGGCGGCCCACTCACTACGCGCACTATCTTAGTGCGCGGGGTGGCAGGAGGCACTCACCCACTAGCCCGCTCGCCGGCGGCCCACTCACTACGCGCACTAACTTAGTGCGCGTGGTAGCCGAGCCCACCTCTCCGTCCGCCGGCGAAGGGCACTGCGAGCGGCCCGCTGGACCACTCCCCCCCGGCCGGCCGGAGGCACTCACTTCCGCACACTAAGTTAGTGCGCGTAGTGTCCCGGCCTCCGACCACGACTCCCGGGGGAGCACTTCACCACTTGATCCGCCACGGCGCACCACTAGCCCTCGTCCAGCTCACAGACTAACTTGCGCCGACTTAGTTCCCCGCAGGGCCCGGGACCACTCACTCACTGCGGCATCAGTGCTCTTCACACGACCTGGCGAAGGCTCCTGCGGCGAACGGACGTACGTATATGATTATTTGTTTCTTGATCCTGTCTTGTGACCGCCGTCGGTGCACGCCCAATTTTGCGTCGAGCATCTTCAACCCAAATGATCTTCTATCTCTCTCTCAACATACTCGCGGCCGCGGCGGTTCGGGGCGAGCTGCTGCTCGGGCTGCTCGCGGGGCACGCCTCCGGCTCGGACGTGGGCCAACTCGACACGCTCATCGACGCGGATTCCGCCCTCTCCTGGGCCCAGATTGGCAGGAGCCGCCCCGTCGAGTCGGGCGAGTGGCAGCTGGGCCAGCCGCTGGGCGCGCTCGGCGCCATCAACCTCGCCAGCAATACCTCCACCAACTTCACGTTCGGCTTCCTCTTCGAGGCGCCGTGCTCAGCGCCGAACGCCCCGAGCGCCACCACCGTCCTCGAGAAGAGCCAGAGCGGGAGAGTGCATGACGAGTTTAAGGCCGTCCTCTCCAAGATCTTGCCGGAGTTCGACTCTTGCTTCTTCGACACCGGCCTCAACGACCATTTGCCGATGCCGCTCGTGCAGGGCTCGCTGGAGCGCCAGACTGACGAGGTGCAAGCTTGTCGGTCGCAGACGAACGCGGCGTCGCAGACGAACGCATCGGCGCATGACTTCGGCGCCGTCTCCTTGCTCGTCGTCTGCGGCGCCATCTGCTTCCTTTTGTACGCGCACGCAAGCTTGGGAGCAGTTTCTGAGGGTATGCACACATGCAGCCGCCGCCGGCTCTGCTTTCTCCTGCTTCTCTCTCCGATCCAGGCCGTCGTCGATCCTTGGGACTGCACGACGTACCCCTACCCCATCCAGATCCTCAAGAGCGGCACCGACCCCTACCGGACGATGCAGCTCAACCTCGCGGAAGGAGATTTCACCGAGATGTGGCAGTGGACCGTGGACAGCGCAGGAAATTTGATGGCGCAGCTGAATGCGCAAGGCTACAACACCCAAGACAATATCACGTACGGGCTCTTCTCCCCGGACTCCTCCTCCGCGAACCCGAACGGCGCGACGTACTTGTGCCGCTTTCTCACAACCAGAACTCGGCGGAGTGTCTGTGCAAAGGAAATATCTGGGGCAACGCGGCGGCCATCACGAGCGATGGCACGTACTACCTCGGCCATCAAGGCGGCGTACAGGTCTACAAGCTGCAGGCCGTCCAAAACATCGTCTACCCAGCCGGCAGCCCGGTCGCGATGACTTCTCTTAGCAGCACCAATTGCGGCATGACGCAAGTGTTACAAGGCAGGGGCACAGGCGGAAAAATCGACATCAGGGCCTGGGGCCTGACCCTCGACGACATGTGTACCCTCTATGGCCTCGAAAGCGGCTGCTCAGGAAGCTTTATGTCGGTCTGGACCGCCGACGGGAGCGACGGGAGCGCAAACATGATAGAGTGGTTCCCCGGTGGCCAGAATTTTGCCGATTTCATCGACTTCGAGTACGATAGCACAACGTACCTAATCGGTCTGGGAACGTCCGATGCGAGCGTCTGGATCATCATGCTCGACGGCGCCGGGGACGTCGCAGGCTACTCCTACAGCCGCGTCGTCGTTGACTATACCGCATCCCCAAGCAGCACTCCACGCACGATGAGTGGATTCGGTGCTGGGTATCGCTATGGCGAGCGGATCTACGTGCGCGCCCCCCGCCCCCCCCCCCCTCCCAGGAACACCACCAACCCCCCCTGCCAAACACACCATCCGCTACAGGTGCACCTGCCACCCTCACCCCCCCCCCCCCCCCTTCACCCCACCGCGACAGTTCTCCTCAAACTCTGGATCCGGCATCTTCGAGGTGGAGTTGGCCTCCCTGAAGGCCGTTCTTGACCGTACCGGCGTCGAGGGGTGCCTCTTCTCGATGAATTCGGGGAGTCCCCCCAGCGCAACAGGCAAGCGCGTCTGCGCGGACGTCTCTACAGGGCGTGTCGCAACGTCCTCAGTTCCCGACCCCGTCACACTCAAGTGGGTGGCACCCGCCGTCGCCCCCACCCAACTAAACGACGGCTTCAACTGCCCATCGGCCGCCGATCCCTTCACCGCGCCCCGCCCGCCCTCCCGACCGCCGCCCTCGCTCCCACCGTCCGCCTCGCCGTCGCCGCCGCCTCCGTCCGCCTCGCCGTCGCCGCCGCCTCCGTCCGCCTCGCCGTCGCCGCCTCCGTCCGCCTCGCCATCTCCGCCGCCTCCCTCCGCCTCGCCGTCTCCGCCGCCTCCCTCCGCCTCGCCGTCTCCGCCGCCTCCATCCGTGTCGCCGTCGCCGCCGCCGCCCACGCCGCCGCCTCCCTCCGCCTCGCCTGCGCCGCCGCCGTCCGCGTCGCCGTCGGTGGCCCCTTTCGGCTTTACACTCCGCCAGGGCTTCTGCGCTGACGACAACGGCAGCAAGTGCAAGGAGCTTGGCCGCGAATTTCGCAAGGGTGACTACGGCGTCGCGCGGCTTGCGTGCCGACAGCTCTGCGAGCGGACACATGGCTGCCAAGCCGCCGAGCTTCTTCGCCTCCACAAGACGTATTCGCTCTGCAAGGTGTGCGGCTCGGCCGCCACGCGCACCAACAAGGCGCCGGCGAACAACGTCGAGTGTCTCACTTACAACAACGGGGACTGAGGCTGGTTCCCTGGTGCCCTCCCCTGCGCTGGACGGGTACCCCCCGCCCCGAATGCATGAGCTTACCTGTAGGCGGACACGATTTGCACCAAGGCTTGCGACGAAAAACGCGCGCGCGGGGGACGAGGACCCTTGCGCGGGGGACGAGGACCCGTGCGCGGGGGGCGAGGACTTGTGCGGCTGGGCGTGCGGCTGGGTCTATGAGGGGACTGGGGCTGGCGCAAGAGGGCCTCGGCGCCATCCACCGTGGTTGCATGTGCATGTAGCGGGGACCGACCGGCCGGGGTGGTGGGTGGCGCCTCTCACCCGGCGTCGTAGACGTAGTCCGCGTAGAGGGTTCTTGTGTGCAGCGTCCCATGAAGTACTTGCCGGTTTCTGCCTGTGCCTGCTTGTTTCTGGGCTCTAGGTGGTGGCGCCCACGTTGCACGAGAGCATGTGTACGTAGTAATGGATGGTCTGCCCGCAGCCCGGATTTTGGTTTTTGCTCGCTCGGGGAGCCCAAATCACCGAGACAAGCGACATGCGGGTCATGCGTCATGCCACATGTCGCTCGAGGCTCGTGCTCGACATTGGTGCATGGAGCATGGACATTGGCAGGAAGGTGTACGCCTGCCTGATGAAGCCCGTCATCCAGATCTGTCTGGTCGCTAATAGAAAAAGAAATCTCACCGCCACAAAGCTTCAGATAACGCGACGTGGAACGACCCGTGGAACGAACCCGGACCGAGAATTCACCACTTCGAAATGGTTGGGGGGCTGCTGCTCCTCCACGCCGCCGCGGGCGTGGTTCTGAGCTCGTACCTCTCGAAGGTGCCGCAGGGTGCAGCCGACAAGATCCTCGGCATCGCACAGGCCTTCCAGCGCGACGAGCGGGCGGACAAGGTCAACCTCGTCGTCGGCGCATACCGCGACGGCGGCGGGTCTCCGTGGGTGTTGCCGACGGTCCGCGAGGCCGAGCAGCGGCTGATCGCGCGCGGGCAGAACAAGGAGTACGCGAGCATCGTCGGCGTGCCCGCCTTCCTGGACCGCGCGCTCGAGTTTGCGTACGGGCCCGGCTGCACGGCGCTGAGCGAGGGCCGCGTTGCGGCGGTCCAGACGCTGTCGGGCACCGGCGCGTGCCGCCTGGCGGCGGACTTTTACGCGCGCTTTCTCCCGCCGGGCACCGCCGCCTACGTGTCGGAGCCCACCTGGCCCAACCACATCCCCATCTTTGAGACTGCGGGCCTCGAGGTGCGCAAGTACCGCTACCTCGGCGCCGACGGCCGGTTCGACGTGGAGGGTATGCTGGAGGACATCGGGCAGGCGCCGGCCGGCTCGGTCTTTGTGCTCCACGCGTGCGCGCACAACCCGACCGGCGTTGACCCCACCGCCGCCGACTGGAAGCGCATCTCCGACGCGCTGCTTGCGGCCGGCCAGCACATCCTCGTCGACATGGCGTACCAGGGCTTCGCGTCCGGGGACGCGCGGCGGGACGCGGCGGCGCTCTCCCTCCTCGCCGAGGCGGGCCACTCGCTCGCCCTCGCGCAGTCCTTCGCGAAGAACTTTGGGCTCTACGGCGAGCGAGTTGGCTCCCTCTCGCTGGTGCGCGCCGCCGCCACCACAGAGACGCAGGGCAGGAGGAGCCGGGCGCGTCCCGTGTCGGGATGCCGGCCCGCCGTCTCGTCGTAGGTGTGCGCCGACGCGGCCGAGGCGTCGCGCGTCGAGTCGCAGCTCAAACTGCTGATCCGTCCGATGTACTCCTCGCCGCCCATCCACGGCGCGCTGCTCGTCAACGAGGTGCTCTCCGACGCGGCGTTGCGCGCCCAGTACGACGACGAGTGCGCGTCGATGGCGCGGCGCATCAGCGACATGCGCGCGCTGCTCGTCGCGGAGCTCAGCGCGGCGGGGTCGCAGCGGGACTGGAGCCACGTGACGGACCAGATTGGCATGTTCGCGTACACCGGCCTCACCGCCGCACAGTGTGACGCGCTGATGGAGGAGCATGCGGTCTACCTCACCCGCGACGGGCGCATTTCGATGGCGGGCGTCAACGAGCAGAACGCCGGTGTCATCGCCGCGGCGATCGTCGCCGTCGCGGGCTGAGCTGAGCTGCCTCGAGGGCGAGGCCGTCGTTCTCTCCTCGATCGCCCATCCGATCGGCTAGGAGCTTCTGGCGGCCAGGCACCGTTCAGACCTGCCTCCTACCGGGGGGATCCACATCCAGGTGCAGTTTTGCGCGTGGTCCGTGGAAGAGGCTTTCTGTACACACACAGTATACACAGAGGGTGTTAGAAGGATGCCGACCGAACGCGAGGTACGTTGTACGTACAGATGTGCGCGCTCTCTAGCGCGCTATCCACGGCTCGCCGACTAGAGGCGATGCCTCACTCGCACTGCGAGCTCCTGCGTCGTACACCTCGCACACTCTCACACTGTGCTCGCGATCCTCGAAGGGTTGCCCAGCACGCATTCTGCAACAAGCGGGAATCGCCGATCGTGTCTAGTAGTGGTCAAAACTCCACTCTCGCTGCTGCTGCTGCCTGCCCGCCTCGCGGCGAGAGGCGAGGCGATTAGGCGAGCTCGGGCGCGAGGATGGAGACGGGCGAAACGGGCGAGGGCTGCAGCGCCAGAGGCGGCGGCTTGGACACCCGGTTGGTCAAGTCGGCGAGAATCTTGTCGGAGGCCGCGATGGATGGGGGTGCGACCTCGGAGTAGCTCTTGACGACCGGCGGCAAGCAGAAGACAAAGTCGCGAATGGCCCGCACGCTTCCAAAGGCACGCCAGTCGCGCGTGAGCACGCGGCAGCCGGCGGCACGTTGATCGCCGGCCAACTGCCGCAGCCCGACCTCGACGCCGCGCAGTTCCTCGAGAGGGCGGCGCGGTGCCGGCGTGCGAGCTAGGCGCATCTCGGCGGGCACATCCAGAAGGACGAGCGCGTGGGGCGCGGGCAGCCGCTGCAGCAGCCGCCGGCCAAGGGAATAGATTTGCGTTGCGCGCGGCTCGGTAAGGCGTCCGGCGCGCAGCGCCGCCTCGACGCGAACGAGCTCTCCGGCGAGGCATCCGTCGAGGATCACGCCCGAGCGGTGCGCCGCGGTGCGCAGGGCGCGCATGTGCTGCTTGAAGCGGGCGACCAGCAGAGCCTCGGCAGCGTCCTCAGCCGAGTCGGTGGCGGGAGCCTCCACATCCATGGAGACCATGATGTACTCCTCGCGGAGCTCTTGCTGCAGCGCCGAAGCGAGCGTCGTCTTGCCCGCGCCCTCGATTCCCTCGATCGCGACGATGTGGTGGGAGCTGCGCGCCATGGAGGAGGCTGAGGCTGACGGGTAGGCTTAGGTTTCAACCGGGAAAATAGCGGCCTCGCACGAAAGAAAAATTCACGAGTTTGGCCTGTTGCCGCGTGCGTGTCTGACTGTCACTGTGCTGCGATTTTGGGCCCGGGGTTGTGCTTTTGTGTGAAGGAACCAGTCAGTTGAACCCCGCAGAAAAAATTCACACGTTGAAACCAGCGAAGAAAGTCCTTGCCGAGTTTCCTGGTGTGAAACCAGCTGCGGCTCCTTCGACAGGCACGAGCTCAGAACCACGCCCGTAGCGTAGTGGAGGAGCACAGGAGCAGCAACATCGTGGGTCGTGAATTCTCGGCGTCGTGCCACGCGTCGCGTTGATCGGCCTGCCGATCGCGGCGAACAATTTCTTTTTCAGGCTGTTTAGGGTGCTGGAGTGAGAATGTTGACGTATGTGTGCATGCTTGCTGCCCTTGCTGCTATGACGTGCTGATCGGCCACCCAAGCCCGAAGGTGAATTTTTCGCTGGCTGGGTTTTCAACAGTTTACACTTGTTTAAAGGGGAAATTGCATCTCTCCTAGGAGCGCTTGGAGCTTGCTAAGTCGCGTGTGTTGTTTGGTAATGTGTAATGTCGCGGTCGACCCTCTGAACTACCGCACGCAAAAATAAGACGGGTCTCGCTATAGGACCCTCGCCTCCAGTGCCTCCAATCAAGTCGCACCTCTATTCTTCAGCGAATGCAGCGGCAGCACCACGTCAGAGGCCGGGCCGACTGGCGGACCTGCATGCCCAGCCATGCCCCCCACTCCCCACACCCGCTTGGATCGATCAGCTGACAGCTCCATCAGCTCCCACCACCGCGTGTCGTGTCATGAAGCATGATAGATAGACATAGAAAGCATCAACCATCGAAAGAGGTCTGATCTCCAAAAAGAACTCTCGGCGTCTGCCGCGCGCGCCCGCGCCCCGCCCCTTTTGCGCAGCAACACCTTAAACTTCATGGCCCTCCAAATTCGGGTCGGAGCGTAGCGGAGTGGGACCCGAGTTTGAAAAAGGCGACGGACGCTGTTTTCTAGCCTCCAACAACGCCTCCCCGGCGCAGAGGGGCCCCCGGAGGGATGCTCAACCGCCCCACGCCACGCCGCTTGCGGCGGTCCTATTCGTGAGTCTATCGGTAAGCGCGGGTTAGCGCGGGTTCCACACGGGTTAAGCCACACTAACCCAGCACGGGTCAGCACGGGTTAGAACGGGTTACCATAACCCGACGCTAACCCGGCGCTAACCCGGCGCTAACCCGGCACTAACCCATCCTAACGTATGCCCCCGAGCAGCGCGGGTTAGCGCCGGGTTAGTCTCGGGTTAGTGCCGGGTTAGTGCCGGGTTAGTGCCGGGTTAGCGTCGGGTTAGCGTCGGGTTATGGTAACCCGTTCTAACCCGTGCTGACCCGCGCTGGCTTAGTCTGCACTAACCCGTGTCGAACCCGCCGCTAACCCGCGCTTACCGATACGCGATAGACTCACTCCATACACGCTCAACTTACCGATAACGGCGTTGCCGCGGAGAGCACCAAGGGGCAAGGTGCAGCCAAGCCGTCCGAGGGAGAGACTAACCCGGGTTAGCGCCGGGTTAGTCTCGGGTTACCATAACCCATGCTGACGTATGCCCCCCAGCCGCATGGGTTAGTGCCGGGTTAGTGCCGGGTTAGGGCCGGGTTAGTGCCGGGTTATGGTAACCCATTCTGACCCGTGCTAACCCGTGCCGGGTTAGTGAGCACTAACCCGCGCTAACCCGCGCTTACCGATAGACTCACCTATTCCCAGCGCGCGGGGCCACTTTATTTGGACGTTACAGAAACACTCTCGGCGCCCCGGCCGCACACCATGCCCAAGCCCAGATTCTACTTTGGAGCCCTCCTCACATTGATGGTTTTCTCCCTCTTCACTGCCTGCGCCTGCCTCCCACTCCTCATGATTGGAAAAGGCAGTATTGGGCAGACGCATCAGGAAGCGTGCGGTGGGGCTGGCATTCCGGCAGCCGATCGGTCCAACGAGATCGTCGATCCTTACAAGGCCTTGGCCAAGAGGTGGTACGAGAACCGAGCATCGGCGAAGGACATGGAGTACAAACGTGCAGCTGGCACTGCGATAATGGCGCATGGGCTAGGTCTTTTTGCGCTCCTGGGCGTGACCGAAACGCGCGTACACCGGCACATTGTCGGCCGATGCGCGGCTCGCGTCGCCGCCCCGCCCACGGCCACAGCACGCGGTCCCTAGGTGTGATATAGCATTTAAACACCGTCCGTGCAGGGCTCCTAGGCCATCACTGGGTCCACAGTGGACGGACACGCACAGCCTCCCGCCGGCCCGGCGGGCTCCCGACCACGCCTGTGGTGTCGGCCCCCCCTGCCGCTGCCCGCTGCCCCTCGCGCGTGTGTGTGTGCGCGCGCGCGGGAAGAGTGGTTGCTGGTTGAAGAGAGACGGGGAGACGCGTGTGCGCGCGCGTCTCTTCGGCCGGCGCCGCGGTGCGCGCCGACGCCATCGCTCGCTCCCCTATTGCTATTCTCCTGCTCAGCTAATTAATAGTAGAAGTGTCGGACACGTGATCGGGACTTTGATCTTGTGGAGACCGTTCTCGGTACGCGAAGAGCGGGCGCTTCCAGACTAAAATCTAAATCATAAGATCACACCGTGTGGGGCCGAAGGCGAAGTGAGCATCGCGTTTTTTTAGTCGTCAGCCATCGCCGTCGCCTGGTGCACACGCCCAGCGCTGCCCCCGTTTATTGGTCGGGCCGAAGGTCCTCCCCCTGCCTCTTCACGTAGTAGCGATGCAGCGCCATCTCGGGCTGCTCGGGTCTCACGAGAACGTGGCGTTCAACAAGTACCTGGCCTGCATCGGCAGGGTCCTGGGAGAGGAAGCGCTCCGATCGCGTGTGCCATCCGTCGCCTCGCGACACGAGGCGACAGTGGAGAGTCGCGCCGGTGCCCTCGGCACAATGCGAGCCCGAGAGCATGAAGACCTTGCCTCTCCCCTTCGACTTCTCCTCGCGCTCGGCGCCATCCAGCGTCACCCGAGTACTATTCCGGCCAAACATTGTCTTGTCAACAATCTCGACGGTGCCGGGCTCGGGGCACGAGATGCGGAGTGTGTTCTTCACCATGTCGGCTGCAGGGCACGCGATCGACTGGGCCCACGACGGCAAGCCGAGGCCGGCGAGCAGCGGGCAGAGCGAGTCGCAGCGAGAGCGATCCTGGTCCCACACTCCGCAAATCTCGGTGGGGCAGTCCGGCATGTGGCGCCGTGCCGCCGCTTCTGCACTACCGCGCCGCCTTCCACACACACACACCTTACCTCCTGCTCGACTGAGTTTGCGGCGCCGCCCCCTCGCTTCGTTTGAAAAACTGGAGGAGCCTTCGCTCGAGCCGTCGACTAGTGTTACAATGGTCCGACCGCACAGTGGACGTGTTCACATAAACACAACAAAACACTCTCTCTCTCTCATAAACGCACAACCCCGGGCCGTGTGCTTCCTTTGCGTTTGCCTCGAAATGACCAGGAGGCGCTGTCTGCTCGCACAGAAGCTGCGTCCTCTGTCGCTACCCAACCCGCAAAGGATTCTACCCTCGCTCGAGAATGTATGTATGTAGAAAGATGAAGATCTAGCTGGGTTCGGCTCCTACTCAGATAGGGGGTCTGGCGCCAAAACGCCCTCATCCTACCTATTGCGGGCGCCAACCACCAGGCTCCGTGCCCACCTACCTACCTATTGCGGGGCCGCGCAGCGAAGCGAAAAAATCCCGTGAATAGGCTCCCAGCGCCCGTTTTCGGGCGCCGCCACCGCGGGCGCCGCCGCCGCACCCGTCTCGGCTGGCGTCCCAGCCGCAGGCGACTCGTCTGGCATGGCCCCGTTCGCGGCTAGCCGTCTCCCGCGCGAGCGAAGCGGTTTTTTTAACCCCCCCCCACCCCCACCACCCCCCACCCCACCCCCCCCACCACCCACCACCCCACCACCACTACCTACCTACCTATTGCGGGGCCCTCTGGGGCGGTCAAAACCGGACGTACCTACCTATTGCATGGGGCCAGCCACAGTGTGAAAACAGACCCCCTATCTGGGAAGGAGCCGGAACCCTGAAAAGGGCCAGGCGTGCAAAAAGAATTTTACCGGCGATCACGACACTAGGCAAAAAGAATTACATGGATGTCGGCTGGCACGCACTAGTACACTCGGCCGCGTCGGGACTGGCCCGCGCAGACCAAAAAAGGGTAGGAATTTAGGTTTTGTTTTGTTACATTCCGGAATGTTTTGTTATCTCTCAGATGGGTAGTGACCAGGGGTGAGGGGACGGATATTGAAGACCCCTCACAGACACACTCAAGATCGTGCAGGGCGGGGACACATGGACATGCCTCCCCCCCTAGGCTTAAAAAGGTGGGCCCTGGGGCGCCTGCGGCTTAAACGGCTTAACGGGCCCGGGCCCATTTTAAGGCTGCCTGGGCCGCCGATTCCTCAAACGGTCTTAAACGCTTAAACGGTGCGGGAGAGCTCCCGAGGTCGATGGTCCCGGAGGCTCCCGGTAGACGCCGGAGGCCGGGAAGCTGGCTACAGTCAGCTAGCACGCGTCCCCTATGCGAGTATGGCTCCTGTCAGTGCACCAGACTTACAGATGTGTCTTCAGTGGCGGGTTTGTGCCTAATAACGGCAGTATTGGACAATTGGAGAAAACGGCGCGGAACCCCAGCGACGCATGCCGGCGAGGGGCCGATTTTCTTAAACGGTCTTAAAAGAGGGACCCCCCGTGCCTGCAATCTCTTAAATGGCAAGTGAACGACGAGAGTGGGACGGCCGCGAGGTGGCATGAAGGTTGCAGCGAGAAGCGGCGAGAGACTGCGAAAAGAGATACGAAGAGGCAGACTCCCCAGGGTGGGCGACGGCTAGCGCATCACACTCCTCTCCTTAAAATCCCTGTGTGGTGGCGGCGTGCCGTTCTCCCATCCCTCCCTTGGGTTGTCTGTTTTCTTTCTTTCTTTCTTTCTTTAAATGGCAAGTTAAGCCCCCAAACCTCCTCGTTTCTTAATCCGGCCCTCAGAACCCTCCTGGGGTCCCCTAAGTGCCTCCCTAATGCCTAAATCCCATCGTCTGCAAACTGCATCTGCCATCGATCGCGTCTCTGACTCAGAGTATATACGAATATATAATACGAATATATAGAGAGTTTGACCGTTTTATCTAATTATTTATTGGCGCACAGATTACCAAGCGTCACAATCCTGGTCCGCGCTCGCTCTTGCGCGGCGTTCCATCCCTCGAGCACCGATCGCCACACACTGGAATACACTCTAACCGCGTCGCGCCCTCCTTGGACAACGAGGCCAGGGTGCTTTGCTCCGACGCGCTGGGCAAAGGCGGCTGCGATCGCGTGGTTTCCGGCATTATCATGAGCCGGGCTGATTGCGGCGAGCGAGATGTAAGCCAGATCCGGCAGCTCTGCAATCACCGCTTCAATCGCGGTCGTCTCTGCACGCCTCTCGCCACCAGCGAAATCTAGATACAACTCTCTGGGAGGGCGCCTGGGTCTAAATTTAGTGCGGTGTGAAGTGTTTATCTACTGCATCTTTAGCGCAACTTTAGCGCAACTTTAGCGCAACTTTAGCGCAAATTTAGCGCGAGTTCACTGCGACTTTACATCCAAATTTAGCGAGGTTTAGTGCGTCTTTAGTCCAGCCGCGCAGTGTAGGATCCAGCCGCAGACCCTCGCTGGGCCTCCCTCCCCCTCTCCCCCTGCAGTTCCCTGCCCACTCGCAAAAGTTCCCCGTCCCATGGCCATGCCTCCCATCCCCAACCAACCGAACGAAGGTTCTTCAGCTGAATATCAACCTCAAGGGGGTGCTTTCCGGGTGCATGGCTGGGGCTGGATCCAACATGCTACGAGTACACGCGTATGTAAAGCTGCTTGCGGTGACTACATGGATCATTGCCATTTGGCCGTTTCTGTCCTCGTGGTCTGGATCCTTCATCCTTTGGTTCAACATTGGGTTTGAAATTCCAAGACCGACCCTCACCTCTACTCTATTACAGCTGGTGGTCACGGGCACAGCATGGGTTGTGCGGTCGGAGGTGGTGCTTGCGGTGGCGCATTCAACTGTGCTGGTCCTCCTCTCCGCTCTCGGGAATCGGTTATGTGCCGGTGCTCAGTCGGGAGATCTTGCTCTGGAGGGCTGCATATCCAGCCTCACTGGGTCTGGGAGCCTGCCTTTGGGTCATGAGGGCAGGGGCCAGGCATCTCCTGTGGTGCATTCTTGGCAGCCAAGGAGCAAAGCACGCGGCCCTGGCTAGCTGTGGTGTGGCTGGGAAGCCGTGCTAAAGATGCGTGCCCGCACTAAAGATGCGGGAACCACATTAAATGTACTGCAGCTGCCCGCACCTAAAGTGAACTAAATGTGGCGCTAAATTGGAGATAAAACACACTAAATATGTGCTAAATATGTGCTAAATATGTGCTAAATATGTGCTAAATATGTGCTAAATATGTGCTAAATATGTGCTAAATATGTGCTAAATTTGTGCTAAATTCGCGCTAAAGACGCACTAAATACGCACTCGAACACGCACTAAATAGCGCACTAAACTATCACTAAAGTTCATTCACACGCACTAAATTTAGACCCGGGCGCCCTCCCTCGACTGAGCTTGTGCGTCTCGGGTCCGTGGTTGTGTTTTTGTGTGAGCAAGACCGAGGCCCCTCTCGGCGCACCAGAGAAACCAGAAGAACTTTGGAGATCACACTACTCGAGTACTCGAGTAGGCACGGGACTGGCGCGCACTGGCACTAACACAGGTACACCCGAAGAAGAACAAACAAACCAAATGACGTGTGAGTGTTAGAGTTGTTTGGTATTGCTAAAAAGAATTCTACGAATACAAGCCCCTCTCACAGCAGACTGGCACGAACTAGCACCACAAAAGGCACAGCTAAAAAGACCGGGAAATGCCGGCTGCTCCCGTTCCCCTGTGTCCCTGATCGTCCTGGATTGTCAGCGTCGCCTGGGAAGCCGTGCACGCGCCCCCCGCTCCCACTCTCCATCAAGGCGGACAAGCAACGCGCTCGCAACATGATCACCGCCACTCAGAGTCCTGCGAGGGCGCGGCGTGCTGCGGCCACGTTTGCCGCGCTACTCACACTTGTGCTGCTCGCGGCTGTGCACTGGAGCGGTCACAGTGCGCCCCGTCTGATGGAGTGGTCAAAGGACATGAAGATCTGGAGCGGTCACAGTGCGCCCCGTCTGATGGAGTGGTCAAAGGACATGAAGATCTGGGGCATCAATGGGGATGACGACAAGATCCAGCTCTCCGCTGATACAGCGGGTAAGTATCTCAGCACCTACATGCAGCTGCACCTCGCCAACCCCCGCCCGGAGCCCAAGGATGTCCCGCTGACGCCCAGAGCCAAGGATGCGACAAAGCCGCGCGGACCGCGGCGGCCAATGGCTCTGGCCGTCAGCGGAGGCGGGTTTCGGACGATGACGGCGGGCATCGCCTACGGCCGCGCCCTCTCGCATGCCTTTAAGGACGACACCGTCGGCATGGACTGGCGGGACTTCACGTGCGCGCTGCCGGCGGCCCGTTCCTCAACTCTTTGATCCCCACCCGACACCGCGCTCCGCCTCTATTGTGCAGGCACCTCTCAGGCAACTCTGGTGGGCAGTGGTTTGCGACGCAATTCTCGTTCGGGGGGAAATTCTTCCAGGCAAAGCACCCTTGGCCGTCGTGCAGCCCCTCGGCCTCGCCCGACGGTTGGCCCTCCTCACCGCCTCACGCCACCGCGCGCTCCAGGACATCACGCAATCGGGCGCCGACGGGCGGTTCCGCCCGCTCAAGGACTTCTTCTCCGAGTGGGGAAGGACGTACGCGCAGGGCATTCTCTTTGGGCCCAAGACAACGCAGCCCAGCGCCACTCGCCGGGAAAGAAGGGTAGAACCGCTCACGGAGCATTGATCGGAGTCGTCTCGTAGGGTCAACATCTACAACGCGTGCCGCGGCAGGGGCATGACCGACATATTCGCGGGATTCCTGCGCGCAGTCTCGAACCTGCTTCGCGCAGCCAACCTGCCGGCGGAGGATTGGCACCGCTTTATCAACAACATGATGAGCGGCGTCATCCCTGGCTGGAGGACCGCGCCCAAGCCCCGCCCGACAGAACCAAAACCACAGCCGCGACTTGTGTCGCCCGACTCGCTAGCCTCCCGTCGCCTCAGGGACATCAAGTACGGCGCGCCCCGCGCGGGCTTGCCCGAGGCGGCTCTCATCCAGCAGATCGCCATTCCGCCCGACACCTGGGTCGGCAAGGACGAGGACGCGCAGCTGGTGCGGCTGACGTTGCCGGAGGGCGTGCCCCCAGGTGCCACGCTGCCGGCCGTGCACGTCGCGAAGGCGCGCTCGAGTCGCGAGGGCTTTGCTGGCTTCTTCGCACCGGGGTGAGTGTACGATGCCCCTGTGTGCCCCGGAGGCCGAACCCCCTCAGCGCGCGTCGCCACAGCGCCAAGCGATCTGTCTGCAGGCTGTGTGACGGGCTCACGCTGACAAAGAGGCCGTATACGTGCGACTGCAGCTGGAAGGCGCGGTTCTCGTGCCCAGGGGAGGACCGGTCGGGCCTAATGAACAGAATATTTGGCAAGCCTGCTGCGGACGACGGCTCTGCGTGCTTCGCCTACTGCTGCGGTGGCGAGGACCACGCGCAGGAGGCGGCGAACCGCACGCTGCGGACGCGTTGGCCGCGGCCCGGAGATGCGGACGTGAGCGAGATCACGGCGATGTCGTCGGCGGCGGCAGGTGCCGCGGCGTCGCCCACGATTGTCAAGGCCGCCTTCAAGTCGGTCTTCAAGGATGTGCTTGCGGTGAGCCGCAGCAGCCCGCTCGTCTCCGAGAGTACCCGAAATTACCCGAGATTACCCGAGATTAGGCGAGCCGCAGCAACCCGCTCGTCTCCGGCCCGAGGGAGATGCTCAAGGAGCGGACGACTCCGGCGCGAGAGGCGGCGAGCCGCGACGAGCGTTGCTTCACATGCATAGCCGTGTGCAGGTGTTTAGCATGCTCGACAAGAGGGCTTCGGACGCGCCGACTGAGGAGGAGTTCCGGTGGTGGGCGGCGGGAAAGAGCGACGATGCCTTTTTGGAGAAGCACATCGGCGAATTTGTGGACGAGTGCATGCCGCTCGGCCTCCACCACCTCGCCGTCGACGTCACGCTCAACCGGACCGAGGCAAACCGTTCGAGAATCGTACACTCCTAGTCCCACCGCCGCTCACTGGCCGGCCCACTGCTCGACGCCGACGGTACCCGACCCACTGCGCCAGGCCTCGTCGCCGCTGCCTCCGTCGGAGGAGCGGGCCTGGAGCCCCTCCTACCGCGGCATCGACGGCGTGTACGTTGACAACACCGCCCTCGCCATGACCGTCGCCACAATGATTACGGACTGCCTGGCGGGCGACGAGACCCTCGACTGCGCCGACAAAACGCTCGACGTAGTGCTCGTCAACGACGGCAACTCGGACCCCGCTGCCAACGGGCTTGGGAGCTTCTTTAGCGACACGGGCACGCCGGTCGGCACGTACCATCACTCCGGCGGGCCAAAGGGCCTGGCTCTGGTCCCGTCGCAGATGATCTTTGCCGAGCCCTACCCGAAGAACGTTACAAACTACTTCACGCCGAGCGCGATTGCGGTCCCCCGGAGGGGCTCTGGCCACGCACACACGCCGCGTGCCCCTCAGCGACCTCGGAGCTCCCGCAATAGGCCATCCAAAAGTGGCTGAAGAACCCCTCCCGCCTGCCCGCCGATCTCATCTCGAGCGCGGCAAGCGGCCGTCTCAACGAGGCGACTTTCCGAGGCCGTTCCCCTGACGCGACCTCTGCCGAGAAGTCGCGCTCCCAAACCCTCTCTCGCCGGATGTCGTTGCCGCCGATGCCCTCAGCTATCGCCCCCAGCCTCGTGTGCCTGACTCTCGCCCGTCCGCCCACCATCCCACCAGGCGGTCAAGGGTGACATCCGCCGCCATCGCCAGAAGATGGAAGGGCGGGACATGGACTTCTCCGACAACTTCTCCTTTGCGCCGCCAGAGGAGGAGGAGGGGCTCTCCCTGAGCGACGGCCAGTCTGTCTTTGCCGCGCTGGAGGACGCGAGTGACAACAGCGACGTGGTCGCGGCCGGCTGGCAGGGAGACCCCGACGCTCAACCGCCGCCCGCGACCAAGAAGAAGCGCGGCTTCTTCCCGTGGGAGAAGGCGGAGCCGGTGCCCCCGTACAACGGCTCGAGCCTCGTTTCGGGCACCTTCACTACCATCGACAACCCGCAGTGGGGCGTCCGTGCGGGCTGGAAGGCGCGCTGTCCCGGGGAAGAAGCACACTACGCCCGCCTCGCCTCCAATCAACGCCCCGGCCCTGCGCGGCAGGTCAATCTTCTCGTCTTCTGCCTTGCCTATCCGCAGGACCCGCTTCTCCAGGTGACACTTGCACAGCCACTACCCTCTGCCCACAGCGCCTGACGCCCACCGTTGTCCCCAGTCGGGCGTCGGTTTCTCCAACGACCCGATCATCCTGCCCGCGCTCACCGCGGCCACCTTCTTCGACACGCTCTACGAGCCCATCGCCAGGCGCTGCGGCGTAGTCTCGGCGAGGTGTGCGCGGAGGGAGCGCCCTGACTTGCTCACTGGGCACGCACCTTGTCTGGTAGGGGCGAGGTGGAGCGGGCGACGCCGCACCTCACTCGCTGGCTACACGAGCGGAGCGTGGAACGCGCCACGAACAAGCGAGCTGAGCGGGAGCGGACGAAGGAGGAGTCGGCGGCGTAGCTTCCGTGAGGCGCTTCAGGCTGCGAGGCCAAGCGATGTGCCCCGACAGCGGGCTGTGAAATTTGGCGGGAGAAGTGCGGGCGTGCACTCTGCACATCTAGTACGGGACCCTCCTGTCCTTCTCCCACCCACTCCTCGCGTCCCCGTTTCATTTATATTTAATGACGCGCCCGGCAGGGGTTTTTCACTTGGGGCGAAACGAGGAAAAATGTGGATACTAGCATACTACCACCGATTTCCTAACTTCATTTTCTTCAGCACAGTCCGAACCCACCACACAGCCACACAGAGAGAGAGTTTTCAAAAATCTCTCGCTTGATGGCGCGGGGGGGGGGGGGGCATAGAGGATCTGTTTTCCGTCCCCCCCGGAGCCGGGGGTGCTACAACGACCTATCATCAGGGGCGGCGGGCGTTGGCTCTCTCGAGATGCCGAAGTCTCGGCCATAAACCCCTGCACAGAGGTAGATTGATCTGTACTTAGCGAAGAAGGTGTTGCTTGCGAGCCAGAACTTGCCGTAACCCTTCCCATCCAGCCCGTTCAGCGTCGTACCCAGCGGGTCAAAAAGTTGAACCCAGCCACCGTCCTCTGCGCCGCAAACGCGCAGCACCGTGAAGGCATGCGGACCCTCGTCGCTCGCTGCGCACATGGCAAAGTTGGTGCCATTCCACAAACACATTCTGCGTGGGGCGGGGTTGTGGCTTGTGGGGTGGGGTGGGGAATTTCGGGTGGGGAAATGGGTGGGCGCCGGGATGGGAGTGGTGGTGTGACTGCTCCTGTGGTGCGGGCGACGGCTTCCTGCGGAGCAGCTCCGAGCGGTCAATCGTAGTGCCCCTCTGACCTCCACCGCCAACCTCGGGCCATTCCATTGGCCACAGCCCACGAAAGCCGGTCGAGTGCGCCGAGTTTCCAGGCGCCTCCCAGCTCCCGCTCTGATTTGGATTGAGCCAACCACCGATCTGATAGCGTTTGGTCGCAGGGTCAAGCTTAATCGTGTACTGGGGCTTGTAGCCCGTCAGTATGGCCCAAGCACGAGGCGGTTGACCGCCATTGAGCATTGCGTACCCACCGCAGTGGATCGCGACCGCCTGCTCGAGCAGCGCGACCCACCGGGGTGCAGCGCAGACGATGGGTGTGAGGCTGTCCGACGGTGCCGACGCCCCAACGTTGCTGACCTCCCGGGGGCTCCAGTCGTGCAAATCGAAGAGGCGAACGGTGCAGCAGGAACCCTCGTCGCGGAACAGGTGCCGGATGGCACGGGGGTCGTGCGCTCCAAGCGCTGCAATGGCGCTCAGTAGCCAGCAGTCGCCGATATTGCCCTGACGGATCTCTTCCGGTCTAAGTTCACTCGGCAGTGGCGAGGAATCGCACTGAAGCGTGGCACGCGCATTCAATGCGGCGATGCTCTCGGCTGGCATTTGAGCCTTTTCTCTTCCGTGCAATGCATCGTATCAGCGTTGCTCAGCCCCGACCGCGGTTTTCAATTTTCAGATTGGGAGTTGCGATGACAAGTACTAGCCTGAATTTTACCAGTGTCGTAATACGCGTATTTTCGCCTGAGGACCCAGCTCAAACTCAAGGCTAGTATAGGAAGGAAGGAAGTAGCAAGCAGATAGATCCCGCCCAAAAAAAAGCGTTTAATTAATATAAAAGCGGTTACTCGATCGTGTTTGACATAGCCCAACCCGCCGACATGCCTGCGCCGCCATGGTTTCGGTGCCGCAGCCCCTCTCACACACCTCCTCGACACGCGCTTTCATCAGCACATCCGACTGCGCCTCGTTTTCCACCTGCACGGTCCGTCGCTCGCCCTCGGCCTCGCCGTGACGCTCTGGTGGTACTACCGCACCCTCGTCCTCAGCCGCTCGTGGCAGACGCCACTGGCGCTTGCATCGGGGCTGTATACCTAGTCATACATACTTGCCTCTCCTCGTTAGTCGTTACTGCTCTGCGAGCGAGTTCTTTACCAGGTTGCAACCCTAGTTTCGCACTGGTGCTGTGAACAGAGCACCAACCACACATTGGGCTCTCCCCCCCTTCTCGCCAACCCACTAAATTGGAGGGCGCCTGGGTCTAAATTTAGTGCGTGTGAATGAACTTTAGTGATAGTTTAGTGCGCTATTTAGTGTGTGTTCGAGTGCGTATATAGCGCGACTTTAGCGCAAATTTAGTACATATTTAGTGACGAGCACTAGTTCAGGAAGTTTACGGCGCTGACCTAGGAGAACGAAGAATATTCACAGACCTTGTTGAAAAAAATCAGCCTTTGCGAATACCAATACGAACGCAAAAGTTGCAAAACTGGGCTGATTCGGCGCGAAGCGCCCTGATCTCCTCGCCCTCCTGGTGGAGAGGGGGAAGGGAGGAAGGCACGTTATGGGCGACCCGCCGTCGTCCACGGTGGTGCATGACGCCATCCAGGAGAAGAAAGCCGTTCTCGATGCCGCCGGGTGGCGGGCAGCAGAAAGAGTCGCTGCAGCACAGGAGCATGCCCAGAAAGCAGCAGACTCGGTGGTAGCAGAAGCGTGCAGCAAGGCAGACCAGAGGACAGCAGCCGCTGATAAGATGGAATCCCAGGCCAGCGCAGGTCTCTCAGCCGCACAGGCGGAATCCTCAAAGATCAATGAGGAGCTGCTGCGTGCAAAGCAGGATGTCGGCGAGCTACAGGTGCACTGCACACAGCCTGCGCATTTGCGGGCAATACCGCCCATCCCGATACACTCCCCTCCCAGCCTCCTCCCCGAGTTCACCTCCCTGCACCCGCGTGTCGTCAAAGCTGCTATTCTGGCTAGTTGATGACATAGGCCGAATGCAAGAAGGCGCGCGGCTTCGCAGCAGGCAAGAAGAAGAAGAAGCTTCGGGAAAGTATCGCGGCGATGGAGGAGCAGATCGACGCGCGCGGGAGGGAGCTGGTGAAGAATGAGGAGGTAGTGTTGGCCAAGCAGGCAGCGGCGGTGGAGGCAAAGACAACAAAAGCAAAGGCGCATGAAGCGGCGGCGAAGGAGATTGCCGCTGCACGGGCCGCCGCGGATCGATTTGTGACAGAGACCACGGCGGCAGCTGTGGAGGAGGCGCGAGTCCTGCGCAAGGTAGCGGCTTCGCAGGCGGATCGAATTGTGGAGCTCAAACCGGGCGATGCCATCAGGGTAGTGCGCAAAAAGGACGAGTACTTTGGCAAGACCGGCACCGTGACGAAGGTGGACGAGTACGGGCCAATCGTCGACCTTGGGATCTCAGGAGGCGTCCGTGCTAAGGCTATGACGTTTGGAAGCGTGCAGCCGATTACACTCTCGACGTCCGACGCCGCCAGCTCCGTCGACAATGATGCAGCTTGCGCACCCCGGAGCGCGCTTGCCGGCTGTGCAAAATGTGCCCTTCAAATCGACGACGGGGACACCGTCAAGGTGATTTGCTGCGACGATCCGCACTACGGCAAGACTGGCACGGTGTCCGACGTCAAGGACGGCGTGGTTGAGGTCGAGCTCGACAAGGAGGTTGTCTGGCTCCCTGCGTCAAGCCTCTGCCGAATCACCACCGTGCCCGCGGTGTGGACCGGCAAGGTCGCCGCGCCGGCCGAGCTGGTCCCTGGTGGCAGTGTCGACATCGTGAGCGTGCAGAGGCAGCAAGTTAACCAAAGAAAGGCCGAAAAGCCGCAGACTTTGCAGCGCGGTGACTGGGTGGAGGTGATCAACCCCGACAACGGCCGAGTACAGGATGGCCTCAGCGTGCTGGGAAAGGTGGCCGTCGTAGCGCGTGCCCGAGATTCACACGGCTCAGATCCTCTCTAGTTCCCCACCCCGTGGTAGGTGACCAAGACGATTCCCAGGAGCAAGACGGCACCGGAGGGCGTCATGGTCAAGTTTGAGGACGGCAAGGTCGAGCTGCTCAAACGGCGTAGCGTGAAGCCGAGCGCCGTCAGGGGCAGCAGCCTCATCAAGCAAAAGGCGGCGGCAGCAGCAGCACCGGCGGCGGCAGCGACGGAGGGGTCCAGCGCCGCTACGATGGATGACAGCGGCGCAGCGAGGCCGCGTGGATTGGGGCTGCCGGTCCTCTCGGAAGCGCCTGAGGCCGTGACGAAAGATTGCAGAGGGAAGATCGAGGAGGCTTTGCAGCGGCTCAACTGCAGCAAGGACGTAAAGCAGCGCCTGAGCAGTGCCGTTGATGACATACCAGTCCCCGCCGACGCCTCGACGAGCCGGGCATTTGATATGGCGGAGGAAGCATTGCCGACGGCCACTAAAGGCTGCAAGGACAAGGCGAGCGACGCTT